TCATTGTCTGTTTGCTGCTACAAGACATTGAGTTTCCGAGGACAGCTCACCAGTTGTGCATTTTGTAAGTTGTGCATTTTGTAAGTTGTGCATTTTGTAAGCTAATGAACTTTGCCTTTTTATTTCTTCGCAAACAGGAAAAATACTAAATTGTTACAGTCTTGCTTACACTGCCCATCAGTAAAACCAACTTCTGTGGTTTGGAAAAATCAAAATGCATCCATCACCGTGTATGACACAAGGCTACAGAGTCAATTTAGTTAACTGGATCATGTGTTCCCCAAGTCTTACGCATACAACCATCTTACTGCAATAAGGAGGCAGTGAGAATCACCACAGTGAAAATAAAGCATGCACCATCTTCTTCAATACTAACAACTGCTCAGAGTACAGAAAATGAAATACATATCACATTGTAGTTGTTGCAAGGAGATATATGAATTTCAGTAGGATCTCGTTCTTGAGTTGCTTTATCGCTCTGCTCAATTAAATGTCATTTAATGATTCACCACTTACAAGGGTATTATGTATCATTCATACTCCATTAACTTCAGTCTTCTTGACTGTCATGAGACTTCAGACTTCTGATTTTTCCAGAAAAGATAACTAGTTCTAAGGAAAAATATTCATTTCCTGTGTAAGGCCTAAGTATCAGCAAGGTGAAAATAGTAACTAAATATAGCAATCACTGTATTATTTTTGCAGTTCACACATGGGGAGATTCAGGTTATCACATTGCAATTGTTTACACCACTGATACTGGTTTAACTGCTAAGCAGCCTAACGATGAGGATCATTTAATGTAATGACTGTATTTCCATGAAAACTGTAGTGACCTGCCTATTGCACTTTCTTGGGGCATTTTATTTTCAAATGTATCAATCGTAAATGACTGTTACAGAACAAAAGATAAAGATTCTGGATCATCAGATTAGGTGGTGTAAGTGAATTGCTGAAATAGTCATGTTTGTTCATGCATTGTAGCAGGTTATTCCAATACTCACTCACCTTCACATTTCATCCTTTTACACACCTTAAGCCTACCCATTCTCAATGTAAGAAATGAGTAAAACTGATGACTCCTTGTCTCAGGCACTGACTCTTTGTCCAGAACACTTAGTTCCAAAGATCACCCTCAGGCTTTTGTATCTCCTTGTATCTGTCAGTTAAAGCAACGATTTCACTCTGCAGCTGGGACCACACATATGAGGTCAGTCTTCACAACCCAGCTTTCAACTGCTACCTGTTGCACCAAAGTAATCTGACCAGCCACGTTGGCTATCAGAGATAGTTGGCTTCATCATCAAATTTTCCATCAGACCTAAAAATAAACCATTCAGTCTTGAAGTATGGTTAACCACTTGGGCCAAAAAATGATAATAAGCTGTAGATGCTCATATCCTCATGCTATCTAATGCTAAGAATACACCACTTAGTTTTCCCATTGAATAAAAGCTGCTTCTTTCAATCTCTTTTTTTTTTACAAACTCGTTGCCTCACACAAGCATTACCAACCGCCAGCCTGCTTTCAATTGACATGAAACTGTTAATGTGACGAGTAGGTTTCCAGTTTGTAGGAACATTGTGTTAACATTTACTTACCCTTGTGTTGGAAATGTAAATAAAATTGGATGCATCATCACTGGTGAGACACTGGGAACCATGCAGACATGTGCACCAATCCAGCCCAGGTGCATCGCACTCCTGTGGGAGCTGTACACTAATTCTGCCATGCACTGCCGTGCTCTCTTACGAGGAATTGGGAGCACAGGCAAGGAGGCAGCGAAGTCTGCATCCTCTTGCAAGGAAGAAATAGTTTGTGTGTTACTGAAAGATATTCCCCAGAGAGCTGAGGAATCTAAATGCAGAAAGCCCGATAAAAATTACTGTAACTGAGAATCTAAGGCACAGAGAGATTAAAATACCTTGCCCAAAGCCTTTCCGGAAGATCACATCAGAGATGGAAATTGAATCTAGCTCTCATGAGTGAGTATCAAACACAAGACTTTTTTTTTCTTTGAGGTACTAGAAAGTGTAAAGCATTTCCTTATCACCAGAAATTTCATAAAGCTTGGCCACTCCGATCACAATACTTAAATCCATATTTTTAAGGACATAATGTCCCTTGAACACATACTTGCCTTTCATTTAATTCAAGAGAAGCTGCACATGCATACATCAGAACTGTACATGAATTGTTATATTTGCAACACTTTAAAAACAGACATGTCACGTTAATATGCCTGCGTTTATCTCTGCTATCCATACAAAGAAACAGATATTGCAAATCAAAGTCAGCAACAATGTTAAAGTATCAGGTATTCATGTTTGGGAATGCACAATATTGAATATTCTATGGAACACAAACCTGACAATATCCAAAAGGTTCCGGAAGGGGCTGTGAGAACACGAGAGCACCTAACACAACAGCCAGTGTGGTAGATAAACTGAATGCCTAACTCTTGTTCAGTAAGTCCTGCACGTGAGAGCTAAGGATCTGGTAAGCAGCGGATTTTTCAACAGGTAAAGGAAACGCAATGTACACCGCCTCTAACTACTGAGCTCTGGAACTGGCTGTCGCAGGAGCTTGTGGGGGCAGACAGTATTAGCTGTTCACAAAAGGATACACAGATTCATGGACACAGATCCCTAACAGCACAGTAAAAGGACTGAGTAGGTATATACACTCTAATGATTCTTGAGAGCCTAGCAAAAAAAATCACTACGCTCACCTACTTTCCTTGGCAAACGTACACTAAGCTAGATGTGTTGATAGTGTACATTTCATTTGTCCCCTGGGGCACTTCTATTGAAAGATGTTCCTATCTACATGTGATTTTAGCTTTACCTAATGTGGAAGGAGTTCAACCTTCCCTGGGAATCCAAGCTTACACACTTTTCAAGCAAAATTTCTGGAAGATGACAATGGAAATGGAATTCTTAAGGCAACTGAGCCCACAAATGCAATGAAAACATTAAAAAAAAAAAGTGTTCCCTGGATCACGTACAAACAAGGCTAAGCTCTGCAGCATCTATATGTTGTTATTTTTCATAATTGGAAAATACTTTTCCCACTCATTACAACTATTTTGTACAGTACAGAAGTAAACTCATGGGAGAGTCTTTGCATGAGTGGCCCTAATTTGTTGAGTATATTGTCACCTGATCTCTCTGTATACAGAGTGGGGATTTGTACTTATATGTGTAGTAATGATTCCATATGTGCTTACCCTTTCTAAGTAATTCCTCAAAAAGACTGGAGGAGGGTTTAAGAAGCACAAGCGTTTCACTTTTACATATGATTCTGGCACTTGCTTTTTTCTAGCCCACAGAAAACCACCTCAAGCCTCATTTGAGGATGCTGTCATAATATTTTCAGGCTCAAGACACAAGATTTCATTAATTTCTGTACTATCAAGTTCTGTTCCAATATTAAATAAGACAATCAGAAAACTACTCAGACAAGAAGACTACTTTGAGCCAAGACTTCAGGGGTTGGCTCTATTTCAAGCCTTAAAGAGATATGTTAGAGAAAAAAAAAAAAAGGAAAGTAAAATGCTCAAAATAAAGTGAAAATTATTCAGCTTTGCCTCCTGGGTAACACTTTCCTGCTTCCTATGGAAAGGCTCATTCTAAGAATCCTATATATATTCCTTATCCTGTTTCTTCTATGTGGATGCTTGTCCTTCAATTCATATGCCTCAAGACTGCTGCTTACAATTTAAGTTAAGCAGTAAAACTGGGATATATGCAGAGCCTTTAAAGTAACCATTTCCCAGTTCTGCTTGTCCACTAAGTCTGGGAAAACACTTGAATCGATTCCACTGATACTTTTAAAGTTTCATACAAAGTGAAGTGAAACACTAAACTGGAGATCACAGAATAGTTCTCTAGAGAGAAATGTCCTCTAGGTATGCCACACAAGTCCAAAAGCAGTAGGAAAAAAAATCCCTCAACCTGCTGGCTATCATCTTCCTAATGCAATCCACCACGCAGGTAATACTCATCACCATATTGGCTTCACGACAACTTATACTAAATTCGTCAATAAAATCCCCATATCACCACTTACAATCACTAGGCTACCATATTTTTATTTTTAAAATCTAAAAAAAGGAAGTAAAACTCAATGTCGGGAAAGGACACATTAAAAGTAATTTTTTTATGCTTCGATATAAGTTTGCAAGCTTTTTATTATAGTGTTTTCAGTCATATTTAATGGTTTATGCAAGTTGTTTTTACACAAAGGATGCACCAGTCCACTAACTCTTCTAAGGACAAACCTCATCTTCCCCAAGGAAATTATCTATGCTCTGTGCAGATCAACAGCTGAGAGGTGAAATGGTGACATGTTAAGCCTATCATTCCATCAGGCTATGAATACATTACAGGGCAGCAATTGAGTCAACAGAACATCATCTTTTCCTTTCCAGAATTATAAGAAGCAATTATTCGCTTCTGCTTTAGCTTTTTCCTAACCTCAAGCTAACTTATTTCACAGACTCACAGATACTTGTCCTTTTCTTAAAAGTACTCCTCTGACTTGTCTGTAAAAAGCTAAAGGAATGGTTCTTATTAAACCTAGTTACATTTAACATTTTAATTCAACACTAAATTCTAAACAAAAAAAAAAGAAACAAATTCTAATTCAAAATTTACTTTCCTTTACATGAAGACAGGCATTAACTCTTTCCTAAAACAGCATATATAACATTATCCCTCAAATGTCATGATATGGCCATATAAACTTTATATTATATTTCATTAAACACCAATAAAATACCAAAACATCATTAATGTTGCTCTTAAGCCCCCTAGCAGTGCACAAGAGAAAAATTAGATCTTCAATACTTTCAAATGTAATTGGTAAATATAATAGCAGCCCAATCCAAAACCCACTGATGGAGTTCATGGGAGTCCTCCCATTAACTTCCATATGCTTTGGGATAAGGCACCAAGACAAATATTAGCAAGCGAAAGGAAGAGAAATGAAAACTTACCCATGAATTCAATTCCTAAATGGTCTGCTATACCCAAGAAAGCATGTAAAAGAAAAAAGAAAAAAGAGATGGAAATGTTAGAAATAGACTAAAATGTAAATATCACCTTTATCATCACTAGTAGCATTCAATATTTATATGGCAGAGCTGCAGAACGCAATGCGGGGTCAGGGGCCCACTGTGTGGGTACAGTCAAAAAGAAAAGCAGAACCCTGCCCTTTGAAGGGCAATCCTAAGACAGGAATTTAGGGCACTGAGCTGTCACAGAAGGGAAGTATATTTGGGGAAGGACACAAACACCTTTACTCATTAAATTTATATTCAACTAAAGTGCCTCAAGCCAGCTACCTACAGGAATTTAATTTTCTCTTCTGAAACTCCTCTCTCAACATGCTAACTACTATCATTAGTTAGACAAGGTTCTTGCTTTCATTGTCTCTGACAGAGATCAAAACCTAAAGAGATGAATGGAAGGCTTTTACAGAGTTTTGCAGCTCTCACTACAGCACAGTGGCCACACTTGCACCCAACATAACTGCATAATGGCTCCCTGTTCTCTAACAGAAAAGCTGACTGCAGGAAACAGAAGCCATGTTCCCTACTTAGCCATCTGAGTAACATGATGCCATAATTTCAAGACATTTAGAACTGAAACAAAAATTTTAATGTTTCTGGAACATTGACTGAATTTACTACATGGAGCTCAAAACATTTCAGGACCCTGTTTTCACATGGCAAATTAGGATACAATATGTCTCTGACAGATGCTTTAGTGCAAAATAGATTTATATTTCTACAAAACACTTAATAATTTGAAGTTGATAGGAAGTATGTTTAAGTTGATATGTGATCGAAGAATAAAAAACTCTCCATCCTGCAGGGACAGGGCAATAGAAAAAAAGTTAACTGACTTTTCAGAACTGAGTAAGGAGTAGTAGCTTCAAGTCCAAAATGAAGCTATGAAGATAAATACTTCATGCAGAAGACACAATATGCATCTCAAAAGAAAAGAACATAAGATGATGTTATGTGGTATAAATACCTTATTAGCATGGTGTTAGGACAGGTGCATTATGCAGGTCTAGTGACACCCAAATGAATCTTTCTTTTTGATATTAAATGCATAACTCAAAACGATACCTATATGTATTCCATATTACAATCTTCTAATCTGTATTCTTTCATTCACGTACAAGTGTCACGTATAAACATCCCTGGTACATTTGACACAGGGATGTAATTTTTATAAGAGCATGAGATCAGAAATATCAAAAGCGCATTCAACAAACTATATTCACAGAGATTTGCAACTTGGGTTTTTTCCTCTGATTTTCTGTACTTGTGAAATCTACAAGTATTATCTGAATGCAATTCACACCTTGCATCCTTCTGTAAACTACATCAACACATAGTCAACAACCGCTTACTTTAAAAAATGATAACAGAGATCAAATCACCGTAGTCTGGTCTCCAAGGAGCTAAGTATATTCACACATGAAGCAAGATCATGCAGTATCATCTTAAGTCCATGTAGAACAGCTGAAAAAACAATCCTCGTTTCCTAACCGGGCTATATACGTTCTCTACATGTTTTCCATCTGCAGCCTGCAATCTCCTCACTGAAGCTCACCAGCATGGTTACAAGCCACTTTCTCAAAAAATGCACACAAAACACACCTGTCCTTTAAAAAGAAGGAAAAAAGCATTTTAGTTCATCTTTGAGGAGCTTATACGTAAGTGAGAGTCAAGGGTATCTGTAGCCTTCCTGGGAAACGTGTTCAACTCGAGAGGGTAGAAACATGTCAGGTTATTCATTTTAAATACCTTAGGTGCCTGGACAGCAACTTCAGCAACCAGTGTAGTATATATTGCTGACAAAGCTGATTTACCCAGATTATGATAAAAGTATGTCCAACAGGAGAGACCTTTACAGTAAAATATCCAGGCTGCCAATTTATATCATTAAGAACAGTTCAACAGGCTCTGTCAGCAGCTATTTGGGAATAGAAAATAATAAAATTAAAATTCTTGTGGATTTAGCACACGCTGGCACTGGTGCAGCTCCCCTGCCCCGGCCCACGTACAATGGCAACAGGGCCCAAGCCTGAGAACCGGCCTCTGCGCTGACCCTCGCGTTTGGGGAACGGGTGCTGCCCTAGAGCCAGCAACTGTGGCCGGGCGCTGGCCAAGGCAGCTGGGCTGGGAGCCAGACTAAGCCTGCAGGCTGCACAGTGGGGAACACCACAGGTGACAGCAGCACCTCAGGGACTATACATCGCAAAGAAGCTTTCCACGCCAACAGGTACCATGGAAGTGCTGCTCAAATGCAGTAAACCATGGCTGGTGGTTTGTTTTTTCCTTCCCTAACCCCCGCCCTTCCTTTTTTTGACAACTGCAAAAAGACAATCTGTAACAACCATTCTTCGTGTCTTTCCTCTCGTTCCCTGGTTTGAGTTTCAAGCCTCTGTGTTTAAAAAACAAAAAACATTCTGATCCCAGAAACAGCTGCACTACTGGGGCTCTGAGACTTCAGAAGCAAAAAGAAAAAAAAAAAAAAAAAAGGAAAAAAATCCTCTTAAGAGCTTGAATGTACCCACATTCTTCCCTTCCTTTCCCTCCCTCACTGCAGAAACTCCACTGCACTCACAAGTTATGAAAACCCTAACCTTGAAACCTGTTTTCCTCAATACAAATACGGCTCCTGCAGCAACGGCATTTACCAAAGCGTTCAGTGTGTTGAACTCAGGACACAAGGCAAGGAAAGGTGCTCAGAGAAATGTCAGCAGTCATTAATCATACCTGTTGCTTAGCTCGTAATGTTTTTGTCATTCTAAGATGTTTACTCCACTAGCTACGGGAAATAAACAAACCAAACCAACAAAATACCACCAAAAACCCGCAAACCCCACATCTTTGCATCTGAAAAAAATTAGAAAAGGAGGGAAAACGACTGCTTCTAAACCCCAAGCCCTTATCTGAGCTGGCCACTGCCAAAGGCCGCCTCTAAGGCGCACACACACCGGGCAGCAAGCAAATGCTGGCTCTCCTGGAGGAAAGCCTTTATGCCGCAGCTTGCCATTTCCAGCAGCGGAGCGACTGGACTCCAGCAGAGGAGTGACTGGACTCTCATACAGGTAAAAGGGGTCAGAAACCTCTCTGCTGGAAATGTCATGGCAAGGTGAGTCCCCAGGGCTTGCAGGGTTGCTTTTTCCCCCCCTCTAAACCCAGTGCATGCTGGTGGCTGGGAAAGGAGAGATGAGGAGAAGTACATTGAACAGGTTAAGAACATCATTGGGCTGCCCCTTGGGGACCAAGCATCAGCCCAGTGATTACTCTCACTTGCACTGCTGTGGGGAAAATAAATGATTTTGCAAGCTCCAGTTTTGGAGATGGGCTTCCCCCCTCTTAACAATGGCAAGAAATCTCCCAGCAGGTCCACCTGAGAGACGGGCATGGCACCGGGAACTGCGCAGCAAAGGCAATGGGGGGGGAAGCGAGCTGTTGTGGTGACCTAAGACTGAACTCAACACAAAAATGCAAAATGTTGACCCCTGACATGCCACAGTGTAACAAAGGACTGCTATACTGCCATACAGTCGTAATACATAAATGATGAATTGCCTGCAGAGCACTTCCTTGGACACAGCGAGTGCGATGCCAAGTAATTCATTATCAAGCAATGCAGTTTCTTTAAGCACTCAGTTCAACAAAAATGTATATGAGAGCTATTAATGTGCTGAGGCGTGGGTGCTGCTCCACAAGATGGGGTCATTAACCAAATAATGCGACTGTATTTTAATTTTGTTATTGTGATTTCTTCTTTCTTTCTGGTATTGTTATGTTCTTAGGAATGAATATATTACTCAGACAGGAAGACTATTCAATTTTATATTTTATTTTATGAATATTTCTGTATTTTGTTGTTGATGTGGGAAAAATGCTGTGCCTTATGGTCCTCGCACTATGTGAATTTATTGCTAGTATTAAAGCCATTTTAAATTATACTTTATGAATACATACACACCTGGGAATACTTGATAACAAGCACAAGAGAAGATAAATTCGCACTCACTAATAGATTAATTTATTAGTGCTTCACAAAGAACATGCAGCCTTGTGCCTAGATTTTGGTTTGCTCAGGGTTTTTTTCTTAGTCATATTAACTTGGATATTTTTCCCGAGTTAAAGACAGGTTTCATTACCCCAGGTACACTCTAAGCTACACTATGAATAGAAATATAAACTCAACATGTAAATCTCACTGATTTATAGAAGAAAAATCTTGGACATGAAAATACTTATTATAGATCACTACAGACATTTTAATCTGTTCTAAGGACAGGTTGACTTTGGCGTGAAGGAGACAGCTTTAGGAAATCAGTACAACAGCAAAGTATTTTCCACCACAAATGAAATTTATCGGTTCCAATAAATTTGTAAGATTTGTTAAATTGTCCTTGGTAGCTTATTGTCTTGAACAGAAAATGCAACACGATAATATGCTGCAAGCCACCTCAAGTACTCTGAACAGATTATCCGGTTGGAAGGAACAGGACAAAGTTTAACTCTTAAGTATTAGACCAAACGGTCTGAAATGAAGAAAAATCCTTCCATTCAAAAGGTAGCTACATTAGGATATTACCTAGAGATACAAACTGCTGCTGTCTTATCTGTTATGTTTTATTATGTTTGACAGCACATAGTTATCAGCATATTTGTGTATTTAATGAAGCTAAAACTGTAACTGCTTACATATATATATATATGAATGTATATTGTTTTTTGGTGCCTCATTTTGCATGTGAGCACATAGAGTTATGGGACAAGGGATTTTGCTATTCAGTAGGAAGGGCACATTGCTCCCATTTTCTGTCTGACATCCACAGGAGGTTATCAGACTTAGCAAACTGGCCAAACGCTCTGAGGCTGGTTTGGTTTTTTTTTTCCGTATCAAAAAGAAAAAGCACTAGCATATATTAATGTATTTTAACAGATCTCAGTTATTAGAAGGCACAAATTTTGATGTT